CCGTAAATGTGCTTGTGAGACCGCTTTGACTGACAAAAGGATTTAGCCAATCCTCGCAAATTGTTGGTCTGAGCTTTAGGACGCTGTCATAATGGGAGGCGAACGGAAGATCAAGTCTGTAGCCATTATTGGCGCGGGCGCTGCAGGTAAGTACATCTTGAGCCACGCATGGCAAATCTCCAGATGCAAAGATGCAAGCCACCGACAGATCATCTGCTGCGAGCACTTAGTTGAAAGTAGAGGCTAATTTATGTCCGATATCGACTAGGTGCTGTTACCGCTGCAGCTTTCAAAGCGGAAGACTACTTTGAAAGAATCCAAGTATTCGAAAGAAGAGAGTCCGCTGGCGGAACATGGTACTAGCTCCCTTTGATTCTCATCGTCAACATTAGGCTGACTGCATCTTCTAGGATCTACGATCCAAGTCCATCAGAACTACCTCCACTTCAACCCGGGAGCCTCCCGCCCGATGTCGATCCCGCAGTGGAGATCCCGGGCGAGCTTCCCCAGGTTAAGCCCCATAGTCAACGAGAACGATACTCACAGACTCCGATCTATCATTCTTTGACGTAAGAATCGCTGAAACTTTACATATCATGCGAAATAGCGATGCTAATGGAATTGTAAAGTACTAATGTCCCTGACATTGCAATGTCATTTTCGGATTCCAGGTTCGCCTACGGCCCCTTTGCGCCGCATTGGATTCCACGACAATACATTGAAAACTACTTTTCACTGCACAAGACGGATTCTATTCTGGTGCTTAACACCACGGTTGAGGATGTGACAAAAGTTCCGGCCAAAGACAGGCCCGAGCAGTGGAGGTTGACTCTGCGCAAATTTGACGCTGCGCGTAACGTCGACGTTTGGTGGCAAGAGGTGTTTGATGCAGTAGTTTTCGCCAACGGCCACTACTCGGTGCCCTATGTGAGTACAGCCTCCTATAAATCTGTAAGCCGCGTATCACAATTTGAATTAACTTGATATACTTGCAGGTTCCTCACGTCAAGGGCCTGGACGAGTACATCAAGAAATTTCCGGGCCGCGTCGTGCACTCCAAGACCTACCGCACCCCACAACCTTACACCGGAAAGAAAATTGTTACCATCGGAAACTCTGCATCTGGCCATGACGTGACAGAAGAACTGGTTCAGACAGTCCGTATCCCCGTTTATCAGTCCCGGAGGTCCAAGTCCCGCTGGGATGGCGACGAACCGCCTCCGGGCATCGCTTGGAAACCGATTATCAAGGAATTTCGTCTCGACGGGCGTATAATTTTCGAAGACGACTCATATCTCGACGACGTCGATCATATAATCTACTGCACGGGCTACAAACCCTCTTACCCCTTCTGGAACTCGCAAGCCAACGGAGGAAGAGCCTTGTACGATTACAAAAGTGGAAAGCTTATCAAGACTTTCTGGCACACCTTCTTCCAGGATTTCCAGACGTTGGGGATTGTTGGTATGCCAAGAGTTCTCACATTCAGGAGTTTCGAGTATCAGGCCATCGCATTGGCAAGAGTGTTTTCTGGTAGAGAGTCCGTTGCATTGCCACCCGTTGAGGAACAGGAGCGATGGGAGAGGGAAAGGGAAGAGCTCGTCAGGAAGGAAGGAAGAAAGTTTCACGACATTGCCTGGGAAACTGGTGAGACGTTTGAGTGGCTCAACTGGTTGTTCCGTGTCGCCGGTCTTCCGACGCTCAGGGGCAAGGGGCGGACGCCGCCTGTACTTTCCGAGGAGCTGATTTGGGCGGTCGAGCATTTGAGGAAATATCCTGAGCCTGGGAACCCGGATGATGATGATGATGAGCATCAGCGGAAAGACAAAAGAGCGCAAAGTCTGGGTCTTTACGAGGAAATTCATCAACAAGACAAGGAAGGACACAAGGGAAAGTGGAAGCTGGCTCAGAGGCCAAAGAAGGACCTACTGGAGTTTATCTAAGCTGATTTGGTAAGATTTTAGATATACCGACGATAGAAGAAGGTTTATCAATACAGTGACGATGCTAGAGATGCAAATTTGAGACTTGAGCAGCTATCGAATGCGGTAGACGGGATAACGCGGGATAGCCCTCACACTTCATGCGGGTTATCGGGGTAGTGCGGGGTGTGGATTTATTCCCCGGTTGCGGATCGATTCAGCGCCATCGGTCACTTTTATCACCTTAAGCTCGGATGTGACCCCTCAATTGGTTACGTAGCTCTGCCGAACACGGATGATGAGTTGTTCCTTGTGAAACGGGGAGAGATATTAGTATTATCCTGCTCCATGCTTTTCTGTACTACGGGTCTTCGAACCTTCACCTGTTTCCGATGTTCTCTTGCAAACCCCAGAGCAAAGATGTCATCCGAAAATAGCAAAAAGCTGCGCGCCGAACTATTTGAAGCTGGTCTGAAGAACCGGCGCGAGGTCGTTGGAGAGGGCTATGTCGAGACCGCGATGCACAATGGCTCTAGCGAGTTTGCCTTTGCTCAACAAGAGCTGATTACGGAGTGAGAATCCCAATATCTACCAATTGATTGTAGTTTTAATCTAAGATCAATCGAAATAGGTGGGCTTGGGGAAACATATGGTCGCGTCCTGGCCTGGAACGCAAGCAGCGAAGCCTGCTAAGTAAGTCAATTTGAGTTGAGCCCTGCCGCAATTGTGCATGGCATGCATGTAGTTGATGTGCCCTCGAGCTAACACCTACATCAGACATCGGCATGCTCATTGCTCTGAAGAGCTGGGCCGAATTTGGAATCCATATCCGAGGGGCGATTAGAAATGGGCTGACAGAGCTTGAAATCCGCGAGGCGATTCTTCAAGCAACGGTTTATTGTGGTGCACCAGCGGGTGTCCAGGCTATGAAAGTCGCCGATGAAGTCATCAAAGACATGATTGAGAAGGGGGAGCACCAAAGGCAATTGTCAGAAGTCTCACCGAACTACAAGAAACCCGAGTAGATCACAAACCAAACTTTGCGATCTCGACACGGCGTACCAAGATGGGAATGAATATTGTTCAACTATCTAAGGGTGTCGGATTAGTAGGCGTAGTGGGAGTTAGAGACCACAGCTCGTCGAGGTCGACCAAGATCGCATCGGCAACAGCAAATTGCTTTTTGACTTCGAGCAGACACTCAGTCACGGTCTGCCGCTGGGAATGTTCTCGGGACCTTGCCCCCGCTACTCGTAGTGGGAAAAGGTGCAGAAGCGGCGATAGAGTAGAGGATCGAAGCGCTTTCCTGGTTGTCTGCAAGATGTCTTCAACATGTTTCAATATCTCATCTCGGCTCAGCACTGGTACCGCAACGGTCATTGCTTGCCAATGATGTAGGTCGTAGTCATAGTTTCCAGAGAGATATATGCTTGTTGCCGAAAAGTAGCTCATGGCGAGAAGCATCTCGTTGTGTTGGGCAGATGAAAATGATGCATCAAGCTTCCAACTCTCAAGTGCATCGCGAAGATAAAAGCCCTCAGTAGCTAATTCTAGCGCATCGATGGATGGGACCTCAACTCCGGAGAAGCTGTTGTAAGTTTTGATGAACTGGCTCGTACTGGAGTCATGGATCAGCATTATCTCTTTAACGCACATCACACGAAGAAACAAAAAGCGCTCGAACTTACCGTGCTCTGAGCCTAGAGCATAATACAATCATGTTCAGTATATCGTCTACAGAAGCCCGACTTTGAATGTTTGCCTCTTCCGATAAACTGCGTGTCACCTTCATCCACTCTGGTGCTGCCAGGAAGCTAGACTGGTTGAATATTATGCTTCTACAGACTTCAAAAGTTCGTGCCTGTAGGAAGAAATTTCGCATTGTTCCCGAGGTACATGCTGACGGCCCGCTAGCGATGAGGGCCTGAGATGTGCCGAAGACCATGTGCTGTAGCCACTTCTGGCCAGAGGCGTCTTGAAGCAACTTTTGCCACTGTCAGCTCGTTGTCTTGCCATCCAAAAACAGCTCGAGGCTAAGTAAACAAGAGCCTCCGGATAGGTTTGTTGAGCTTTACAAACCTCAAATAGCCCTAGGAAAAAGGTTGACCAGAGAATGCTATCTTTCCGTGTCAACGTAGAGTCCAGGACAGCTCCTCGGAGAGAGGTTATGGACTGCAGATAATGTTCAAGCGCGAAACGCAGGCTATTGTGGCAGCCTAACGCGCCAAGGATATTTGCTTGCATAGCACCCAGAGCCAACATTGCGTCCAACAGATGGTTGTGTGGGGCTCGTCCTGCTTGGCCGCAGGTCTTGACTAATTGTTGAACGTCTGTGAGGAACTGGGGCCCTCGACCGGTGAAGCTGTTCTTGCGTATGAAAATATCAAAGTAAAAGAGGTAAGTAATGGTCTTGTCTGAGAGCGGCGGGACAGGTCGTTGTATGACAGGCGTTGCGAAAGACTTGGCCGTGAAGAGCTTCCCCTTGGCCAGCCGGATTGCAGTTCCGTTGCTCGGAGCCGACGCTGCCGGAAAGACACATTCAATGCAGCGTTTCTGGCATTGGGAGCACGGAATTGAACCGGAGCACTTCGATCGGCGAGAATTAGGAGACCATAATGCAAAGAAGCCCAATTGCTCGCGGCAATAGCAATAGCGAAGACAGGGGTGGATTGCCGTACCTTCGAGTGGCTGGCAGCGCACGGCGCGCAGCGAGAACGTCTAATCCGACGGTCGAATGGCCCAAGATGCATTGTTATTTTGCCAGAATATCGTGGGAGACCTGTGATTTCCGTATGGCCCAAAATCTCTGTTACTCGCCGCAGATTTTGCGAGAGTAGTCATCATAGGGCGAGTGTGTATATGAAAGGGTCGCGCAAGTTGTGTAAGATGTTGAGATCGTCGGGGAGTGGATCAGGACCCCGAACTCACTAAACCCAAAGCGGAAGCAACTGAGCGACGCTAAGTAAGAATCCCCAGTAAAACAGGGTAGGGTGGCCAATTGGATGAAAGCCAACGTCTAAGCTGAAGTGGTGCCTGGAGAGATGAGGGCCAAAGCCTCGAGTTGTTTTCAAAGTTCCGACTCAAGGTATGAGAGGCGCAGCTACTCTCTTTTTCCATCTTTCCACCTTGCCCGGCCTAATGAGACTTGTCTCGAATGGGAAGCAACCACGCGAGAGGGTCTTCGAGTGTAATCATGGGCACGACGAAGTGAGGATGGATGAGTATAAGATGCATCGTCTTTCTCGTTCTGTTTCATCTTTCTTAACTCAGACAAGCACTATCTCTCTTGAGTAAATTACTTCACACACCGAGCACCTCGTCAAACACTTTCCTACCACTTTTTAACCTTCAATTCCTGACATCATGATCCCAGCGTTGATCATAGGCGCTCTCGCCTCAGCGACTCAGGCGATTCTCGTCAACGGACCAACTGGACCTTACGCGGTTTCCATGTCAGTGGAGGCCCTGACCGATGACAGCAGGCTCGACCCTTACGCCCCAGTCAACAACACGCACTTACGGCAAGTTATGACTTCGACTTTCATGCCCGTTGAGAAGGCCAAAAACTCCTGTGAGGGTATGGAAAGAGTGCCATACATGACGCCCCTTGTGGCCGCGGCCTACGACCAGCTGGGCGTCGCTGTCGGCCTACCCAACGGCACCTTCTCTTCATTCGAGATGGAGTTCTGTCAGCCTAGAGCACGTTCATGCAGGCGTCCTCGCTCGAACTATCCGCTAGTGCTGTTCTCCCCTGGCTGGGGCAACCCACGCCTCCTCTACGGCGCTATGGCTCGCGAGGTGGCCAGTCATGGCTTTGCTGTCGTTACGATCGACCACCCGTACGACCCTTCTTTTGTTGAGTTCCCTGATGGAACCGTGTATCAGGCTGTGAATCTCGACACCGACAATACCACACAGTTGGAGTCTCTCACCCAGGTTAGTTGCACCCCCGAGTAGTCCCTAGCCGACGTGTAGCTGACAGAATCCCAGGTTCGAGCTGACGATGTCACCTTCGTGCTCTCACATCTTCAAAACAACCCCATCAATGGCGTCAACCTCAAGCGCACGATTATGTTTGGCCACTCGTTGGGGGGCGCTACGGCGGCGGCTGCAATGTTGCAAGATTCGCGCATCTTAGGTGGCATCAATTTGGACGGCAAGCTTCTCGACCCCGTACTCAACGCAGGTCTCGATCGGCCTTTTACTCTCGTTGGCCGGCCGGGACATTCAGCCGATGATCCGACCTGGGACGTCTTCTTTCCCGCTCTGCGAGGCTCAAAAGCTTTGCTGACCGTCAGCAACACCACGCACGGGGCGTTCACAGATTTCCCCAACCTCATTTCTTCATTGAACCTTACTTTGCCTGAAGCAGCACGCTCTTTGTTGGAGAGCGAGCTTGGGAGTCTAGAATTTGGCAGGATTGGAAAGGTTGTTGCTGGAATTGTTGGGGCTTTTGCTGATTTGGTGTTGCATAAGCGGGCCAAGTCCGTCTTCACTAACGCGGGTGATCCTGCCTTCCCGGAGGTTGTAGGAACCAGCATTGACGTCTGATTTCGATCAAACTTGAGTGCATACTACTTTGCACGACTTCAGGCTGGTATTAGGATAAATGGATGAAGGGGTACTTGAAAGCTCCATTGATACATTGTGGCTGAATTGAATGCCCGAAGGTTTGGACTGTAAATGGAGGAATGATGACATATTTGTCTTTTCTTCTTGTATAATTATTAATAGGTTTGTTAACAATTTACTTTCATCTATATGTGGTGGTGTTTTTCCGGCTTTACAGGCGCAAAAGATCGAACTTAACGGGATCAGGCTTTCAAGGGAATCGCACGATACGGTATACTTTTCAACGACACGGTACGCGCAATGTGCCCTAAACATGCGCTCAACACAATATGGTGGTTTCAAAACGAAAACCGCCGTTTACTTTCATCTATAATCTCGTGCATTCTTGATAAAACTTCTTGGTTGTGGCATCAGCGAACGAATGATGTACAAGCGAATACGATCAGTGTTGTAGGTACATTCCCATCTTAGCCAAGCCAGCATTGCTGCCGACCTCCTCTATGCACCTCTTCAGCATGCGATGGAACAATTCCAGTCCTTCACTGCTAACTTGCTCTTCGCGAAAACCTCTCAGGATCGTCTCGAGCCCCTTGATCTGCATCGAAGCTGGGTTCCCAAAATTTTCTTCCCACATTTCCTCGTCCAGAGCTTGGGCAACTTCAGACAGGTGGGATAAGAAATTCGATAGCAGCGGCAATACGATCATGTCCATCGGGTTTTTGGTTGTCGGGGGTTTCTCATTGCCCTTTTCTAGCTTTTGGCGTTTGAGCAGGTTCAGAGCAAGAATACCTCCAGTGAAGGTTCCATTCAAGGCAGCCAGGGCCGCGAGATCCCACAAGCTTGCTGCTCCAGGGTCCTCAGAGATGTAGTGGACTTGCCCCAGCGGCTCCAGATAACGCTGGGACACCTTGCCGAATTCGGCCTCGCTCTCGCCGCCGAAGAACATTGAAGCATGTTCGGTGCCTACCAAGGCCGGCGTCACCATGATGGCACCGTCGAAATACGCAGTGATGCCGTTCTTCTTGAGAAATGACTCCATATCGCGTGCTTCCTTGGGAGTTCCCGTTGTGATGTTGATGACCGAGACCGAGCGATCCCCTTCACCCAAGGGAAGGGCGGGTACGAGTATGTCCAAGATGTTGTCGTAGGTTGAGACGCACAAGACAACTACGTTGCTGTTACGAATAGCTGCTCGAATGTCTGTCTCAAGAACGGCGCCTTGCTCGACGAGCTCCGTAAGAGATGCCCTTTGAGGGTTTCGGTTCCACATGGTCACAGCTAGCCCAGCTTTCAGCCAGACTTTGACCATCGCGGCACCGATGTTGCCGACTCCAATGAGCGTGATATCCGTCTTAGACATTTTGGTGGAACTAGCTTCAGTCTAAATCTTGCGGTTTAGTTTGTTTTGATTGATTCGATGTATCGTTGTCAAGAAAAGGCTCAGAGTTGGTAAGGCATGAGAGCACACTTGACTAGAGGATGGGTTGAGGCCTTTGTCTTATCGAAAATGTAGAACGATGCCAGCTATGAGTTCTAGCATAAGTTTCGTCCGAAGCGCTTACAAACGTGCCGCACGGCACCGCATCTAAATCTCATCACTTCGGAATCTTTTTCGGTACTACGGACCTCGCGGACGCCGAATATGCAGGCGAGGAGCATACCCTCTTTTTTTTTTTTTTTGAATGACTGCTTACTATGTACGGGTGTACGCTTCAGATTGGAAGTTGTTCTAAAGCTATCTTGAATAAGACGTTGGAACTGATTTTCTTGGATTCTAAGGCTCTTTGACAAGCCTCATACAGCTCAACGACGTGTCCAGCTGCCATACAGATAAGCAGCTGCATCTCATACAAATATCAAAACAGTGGCCATTGGTGTTTGGGGCGAGTCTGAATACGGGCGAGCTTTTTTTGCGTTCATGGTTCACCGACGGTTTAGCATCGACGATACGGGGGCCGAGGAAAGCGCCGAACGATGGCGGCAAAGAGAACCTCCTAGGCATCGACCGACAGCTGGAAGTACAGCAGGGTAGTCGATACTGTATGTCCGTTGGCGGAGTCCGCTTGCGGAGTTTGTTGTAAAGTCAGAAATAGCCTCCTTATCTCGTCATGTACGGAAATAGATAGGGAGCCTTCGGGATTCGACTTCCGATAGAATTCCTGGGTCGATAGCCAACAGTCTTTTCTCCGAACCTTGTAACGGAATGATTGCAGTTTCTGCGCCAGAAATTCCATGTCGGTATTCCAGTCGAAAGGTAATGAATGGCTGCATTATGCATCAAATACTAGTAATCTATCTATTATAGGGCTCCCATCCTAGGATGAATCCAGTAGCTCCTATGCTGTTCCCCGAAGACTCCATGAAAACACAACGCTAATCCCATGATTCATGAATCGTATAACGAATGGTAGAGGCATCAAGCCGTTTTGCCAATGCCTTTAAATAACCTTGCCCAAAATCGAAGAAACTTAACACTCCATGCAGCAAGTAGAGCAGCTGGACTCTGGTGAGGCAGCCTGCGATTCCCTCTTCTTGGTTTGACGGCACCTCCTCGGGAAGAGGTTATTTCTCAACCTCTGATGAATCTTCTTGTAGTGCTCTCTCTATTGTTGTGAATTAGCGTGTGTTTGAATGGGGTTGTAATAAGAATGGGCTGAACGAACCATATTGTCCTTCCGGCTGAAGATGCGATCACAATCCGGGTGCATGCACCTCACAGCAGGCTTGTGAGAGCCCATGTGACGTTGAAAGTCTTTGCGGGTCGCAAAACCAACGCCCGCTTGCTGGCATCTCTTTTCGGTGCAGAAAAAGTACTTTGCGTGGCCCCGGAAGTGCTTCCTGAGATCGCACGCGCGCAGGAACACGCGGGAGGAGCAGCAGCCAGAGTAGCGGCAGCGCCAGTTGCCGGCGACGTCGAGATAACCCATTTGATGAAGATCTGCCGGGCCCCAGCTCTCAGGCTGCACCTCCTGTGGGGGCGATCGCGGCGAGACAGGCCCGCTGCTGGTGCTGGGTGGTGATGCGAAATCCAAAGGCTCACTGGGGATGGGCGAGAAGTCTGAGCGGGGAGAGGATGCGGTAAATGGGGTGTTGATGGTTGCATAGTCGGTATCCAAGGAGAGTGGAGAAGAGTTGTTCATGAGAGGCATTGATGTTTGGTATGGCGGGAATGAGTATGGATAAAAGAAGTCTTCTGTGCCCTCTGATGCGGGGAAAGGAATGAATTGAGAGTCGAATGTGTACACTGGGCTGCTGCCCTCGACACTGGGGAAGAAGGTGTAAGATGTCTCCTCGAGATAGGAATCCATGGCGCCTGATACCTGCAGACAAAGAGTAAATTGTTGGTGTTTGTTGGAGTAGAAAAGATGTAGTTGCGAGTGGTTGTTAGTATCGCAAAGTATCTTGATGTGAGCTTGAGACACAGAAGAAATGAGCTTGGCGAGAACTGGATCGACGACGACGTTTATGTATCTCACGATCACAGATTCTCCAGATTCTCAAATCACCAATGCACACCTTATGCAAGTCATATAAACACGGTAGTATAGCTCGATTCGGGATGCAACGTCGGCGGCCCCAAACGCCGGGTGCTGTTTGCGCAGTCTTCCGTCCAAGACGGACGAGGAGCGTTAGCGGCCTTACGGCGGTGGAATCATGAGATGGGAAAGTGAGAAGCGTGCAACTTGCAAGGCCCCTAGTCGGCATTTGCGTTAGACTTTGACAACCTCAGCAGATCTATCCCCAATTTAGGGACAACCAACCGACTGTTTCAATTGTCAGCCATTTGACATCGGCGTTAGACAGCGTTCCTGAGTGTTCTTGCCAAGGATCTCGTGGCACGAACAGTTGGGGAAATGAGCGGGGGCTGGAGGGAAAGGTGTGCTTCCGCAAGAATGCGATTCGCTAGTCAGCCGTTGTGGAAGACATGTTACAGCGTCAGATCGCCTGGAGATCACGAAGAGCACAGCCGCGTTGACCAGGGGCACACATATAGGTAGTGAGAATCTATATGTGAAGAGTTGTGTTCGTTCCCCCGGGACGGGATGCCACCGTCTTTCATCAGCGCTGACTGAACTTAGCAGAAGGCATTAATCGATATCTGATCCCTAATTTTGTCGACACCTGGCTGGGGGATGCTGTCATGCCGCGTTTATTTGCTGGGGGGTTCAGCCGCTGTTATATCTGAAGCCCCTCCGCTCAGACTTCTCAAGTTGATTGCGATTGGCTCTTGCGATTCTGTCAAGGTGAACTCTAAAGTCTAGGAAGCGCAGAGTTCCGAGATGGCTTCTGGGTAGCCAATCGGTATCCCGCAAATTTTGACAACTCGCTTGTCTCTGGGATAACCCTCTGATGCTCTCCAGTTTCCGAGATGACAGCTCGATTACAACGCAAGCCTGCCCAACAAACCGCCAATTCATAAACACAGTAACCCAAGATGACCCCTTTCAACCCCCCGGTCTCTTCTGACACTTGAACGTCAATCCTCGTAAGGCTAGACGACAGGCCGTCAACCGTCAATGTCTTTAAACGGATAATAGTGGGGTCCTGTCACCGTTCGTGAAATGCGATTCGCTCATGAGAATCCCCCTCAGCCACCACCACTGCATCAGTCGAGACGTCCGGCGGCACCTCCTCCTCTGCCTACCCGACTGGATCTTCGCCCTTCCTTGTTATGATCGCCGTGGCTCATCAACGTCACTTTCGTCGATGATCTAGGCCCCCCTTCGAAACGGACCATTCTTACCATAAACAATGCAATCACGACAAGGGCGGCTACGGCGTTTGCACCATCCGCGCCGACTCTCATCCACATGCAGACCACCTGGTTCCATGAGAGTGGCTGGACCACAAATCATCGGCCATCGTGGAGGCCTCTCTTCTGGGGAAAGAAGAAAAAACCTGATTGGGCTCCTCTCGATGTTTTGGAGCCTGCTTTCATGATAGGCAGCAATTCTGCCTTCTCAGGGACGGGTTCGACGATCATGGTTTCGAACATCATTTTCCAATGTGATTCCCCAATTTCGGTGCTGATTCGGCCGTGTCTCACCTTTGTTTTCTCCGAGCCGTTGTTTATCTGCGTCTCTGCCAAGGTAATACTCATTGCAGCACATGTGTTGCACCCTGGTGATGATAACAGGTGCCAAGCAGGACGGCCTCAACAGGACCGGTGGTCGATGCAGCTCAAGACGCAGAAACTCCTCTTGTAAGGCTAGGAAATTTTCTAAATCGAAGTTGGGCACATTCCGCAGTGGTAGAAGTCAATCTCAGGTTGAGTCAGTGTTCCATGGCTCGGTGCACTAGTAGATCTCACCTTGACTCGCCATGCAACGACGTTGAAAAGACGAAGTCAGTCTGAACGTCGATCTTCAGATTGAGTCAAATGGTAAATCGGTAGGCGCTAGTTGCGCAGCCTTCAATCTCAAGTGAACCCGAGGGAACGGCAAAGTTTAAGTCATTTTCG